CATTTCGGAAAAATCCTAATGATCGGCATTATCGCTCGAGACGATTAATGCCTACAGCCCACATATACGATAGACAAAAAGAACAGAAGGAAATGATCTGCAGTAGCTGCGAGTAAGCACATAACACACATTTGCCAGCTCAGGAAGGAAAACAAGCTCGTCATTGCTCGAAGCCGAGAGAGAGCGAGAGAGAGAGAGAGAGAGAACTGGAAGCACAGAACCTGCATTCCTGCCTGAGTGGGAGGCAGTGACGTCAGAGATGTTGCATCCGGGAGGCCTATTGTCTGCGCGTAGTCTCCCTCTCTCTCGACGTCATAACCCAGTTAGTCCCTGGAAAAAATTTTCGTTGCTACATATACGTAGACGTAGCGATAACTGGTGACTGCGATTTTTAAATGATCATCCACTTATTCGGATATACTTCGATTGAGTACAGTTGTGACGTACTAACTCCGATCGAATGTGGGTTGAACGTTTTGCAAGCTTCGATCGAGACTTCGCTTACATCGCGACTAAAGCTTGCAGAATTTCGATTATAAATCGAGCTTACGAAATCCCGAAGTATTCCGTTGATCCAAGTTGATATCAATGGAATTATGGTACGCTCTGTTTCTCTAAATGTCGCCCAGCGAGCTGGCACTTTTTTCTCTCTTTCTCTCTCTCTCTCCTCGCGTTTCGTAAAGTTTCAATCTGTACGTCGAGGTTTGAGCAGATCCTTTGACTTGAAAATTTTATCCCTCAATTCCAGAAAACGTAGTGCAAATCAATTCTCTCAAATATCCACGTTGTGACATTTTGCAGCATTTTTCAATTCTTTCACTAAAATAACGTATTGATTTTGCACCCACCTACGTAACAACAAAGGGTTAATAAGGGTTAATAACATGACTTCCTAAAAAACTTGCGCCAACTGGCATTACATATTAAAAAAGAAATCGTCTGAGAGGAGAAAATGGTAAGGGATTAGCCCAGTTGGCCGTTTGGTATACGTGGGAGTGTGTTTTAAGGTTACACGTGCCTCGTGTTCTTGCAAGTCGAAGGGATGCTTTTGCGCGCGTGGAGGAGCAAGGAAAACAGTAGAAGAAGAAGAAGAAGAAGAAGAAGCGTGGGTAGGCGGCTTGGCGGGCAATGCTATTTTTAGCCGCTGCTGCAAAGCTGCATACAGCTATAGGCAGGCCACTGGCCCCTCAAAGTGCAGCCAACGTTTTTCATTCATCACTTTGCTCGAGATTTTTCCTTCTTTTTTTTTTGTTTTTTTCTTCTACGGCAGATAAGAGATCAGTGCTATTGCTGACGTACATTGTTGTATTTGACTTCGTGTGTGTGTGTGTGTGTGTATTTCTTTTGTATTACTGTCGGGCTACTTTTTTGAAGATCTGTGAGATGGGGTTCTTTTGAAAATTAGTGTGCTTTTTTTTCTGTTTTACTGGATGCTTTGAATGTAAAAGCTTATTCTTTTTCTTTTATTTTTGAAATTGGATGTATATTCCGGCTTTGTTGTACTATTCAGTTAATGGAGAGGCTAGATTAACCCGAATAGCATTACGAGTGCCGTAGTAAAACTTCATTACAGGGTAATTACGCTTTTTTACGATTTTTGTTTTTCGTTTACGACTTGTAGTCTATTATGTAATTCATGAACTTGCGGTATACATAAATATAGCCGTATGTAAACTTAAAACGAACTATTTTTTGGTTTAAATTATTGTTGATTATTATCCAGTTATTTGTTATCTACTATAATTGTATGAATAATTGCAATAATTTGAATGTATTATGGAATCAAAGCTGCGCATTATTAATTTGTCAATAAAATTTATATTTAAGCTTTACGTTTGTAAAGGCATGTGATATAAATATAAAAAGGCCGTCATATAAATACAAATATTATACTCGCGAGCATTGCCGAGCAAAGAAAGAGGAGATTGCTATGGTCAAATCAGTACAATAATTAAATTATGGGGACTAACCACCAATATTTAATTATTAAAATTGAAAATCGAGGAAACAGAGTGGTTAGAATCAAACGTCGATTCTTTCACAGACGGTTGGCCGAGTGGCGCTTGTGACGTTTCATCTCGTAGCAATGAAACAGTTGCAAGTTGTTCTTTTCTTCTCTGCCTTCTCTGCCTTCTTTTTTTTATATCCGCTCTCTTCAGGCATTTTTTTTATTCGTTGTTCAACCTGATTCGGCTACAGATTGATCTTATTCTTGAAAAAAATTGTAATCTAAGAATAAAGTTTTACTTATGTGTCCGATTGAAATTAAATCTTTTTCTTCAACGTGCGTTCTGAACAGAATGAATCTGCAAGTTTACTTTAAAAAAATCAAAATTAAGTTGCATTTGTTTTAGAGTCACACCAAAACATTTTACAAGATCAATCAGAACTTAATTTTAATAAATTTTCTGGTATTCGAGTGATTTTATCCCTTAACAGAACACGAAATTGCTTAATTTTATAAACATATTGAAATTTCAGTTAAATAATATTTATTACGGTTAAATAATACGGTATAACAATGTGAATAATGAATTGTTATCGAACCATTTCGAATTTTGATCTTAAAAATGTTTCAAATATTTTCTATACATCACGTTTTTAGGCATGAACAAAATTCAGAAATGTGAATACAATTTAAAAGCTATATTCGGAATGTCCAATTGACGGAAAAATTCTGAAAGTAGTTCACATCCGTTCTTTTTTTTCATCCGAAATTCATCCACTTCGCAACGTCGAGAAAAAATTAATGAATTTTCTAGCCGACAAACTGCCAAAACTCCTTTCACAGGATCAAAAGCTGGTATTACAAGCGTCCTATATTTTCAAAGAGGTAAACCAAAAAAAAAAGAAAAGAAAAGAGCGAAGCTCGAAAGAAAATTCGGTAAACGACGTGATTTTAAAATTAATTAAAAAAAAAATGGACAGAAGGAAGGAAGAAGGTAGTATGGCAAATGTAGCTCACATCGCACTAATAAAGTGCAACGGCGCGAAGAAAAAGTAAGTGCGCATCGACTGGGCTACGAAAAATTCAATTCCACGGGCGTCCCTCACGAGGAAAATTTCCGAGGCAAAAAAATCGCAAGCCAAGAGAGTGAGATATGACAATGCAGCTGAAAAATTGCCGCAGTGACGTTGACGGCGTCGCGCGCAGAGGGACAATCTTTTTCTTTTCTTTTTTTTTCGAAATTCTCCGAGCGCTGCACGCGAAAAACGATGTCCGCCGGCGAGAAACGACTCGTCGACGACGACGCCTTGACACCCTCCTTTTTTTACACTTCCACTTCACTCGGCGCTCTCTGGCGTGATAATTCTATCGACAGGTATGTTACGCGAATCTCAATGTATTCGTTGGTTTTTTTTATTCTTCATTGTCGTACATCAATTTTCATCGTAATAACAAATCGAACTAATCTTGTAAGCACAAAAAATACGCTTTCGTCGCATATTTTTATCTCCGACGAAGAGTTCAAAACCAAATCGTCTCTCATCACGTTATCCGTCGATATCACGGAAACGAGCTCCCTCCCCTCTCACTCTCTCTCTCTCTCTCTCTTATCGCAAAACGAGGCTGCTAATTTGAGAGAGCTGATCTCTGTCTCACTCAGCGTTTCTATCTGATTACGTTACAACGGTCAGTCGCAAACCGGCCGTCGGAGAGTTGCAGCCGCCCGGGGCGGCTTAATTTGCAATTTCAGCAGTATACAAACTGACTAATTAGACTCAGGCCAATTGTAATGTTAATTTTTTTCCTACGTATTTTTGTTCGATTCGCGAGTGAAAAGTTGTGACGAAAAGCTAACGTAAAACTCATAAAGCTCAATAGTCCGTCCAAGGGATATAATTAAGGATTATATTATAGAGGACAAATGATTCTGTTGTTGGCGAGAGTAGAGTTTCATTGGGCGTCCCTTTGAGGATCTCGCACACATATACCCTTGGGTGCATTACTGCACGCTTTTATCGTACATAATGGTCTGTAATTGCAGCAGTTAGCAGCAGACCAGTAATTATCCGAGATTTTTTTGTCCGACTGCTAATTTGTCGGATGGCAAATATCGAATTGAAGGTATGTCAGCGTAGTCTTGGTGCAAATATTTGAAGCGAAATCTAAATAGTACTCCATAATTCAGTGACTCGTTCACGTACGCGAATTTTTCATTTTTTTTCCCCTCTCGTTTTTCTTTCACCCCAGCGCAAGCCTCGACAGCTGCCGGATACGAACATTGAATAAATCATGTAACGTCTGAGTTTGCGCAGGATGAGGCTGGTATTTCCCCTCATCCCTGGAAATATGTTTTTTGTGTCGTGTTCAAGCGAGGGTAGTGAAAAATGGGGTCTCTGTATCGCTTTGAAGTTTATTTATTTCTAATGTCTTTGAAGTTGAAGTTGACGGTTAGGTTTTCCGTTCGGAGAGCGAGCGCGAAGTTGTACGAGAGACGCGAGAGATTTTAAAAAGCAAAATTGACGCGAGAGAAGCGACACGAATTGATCGTGTGCTCCGAACGATGGTTGCTTCGTTAATTATCTTGCGCGTGTGCAGAGATGGTCGTTCGTCCGTGTCCTGCCGATATTCGATAAACAATGGAGCACTCGCTCGAACGTAATGAACGGTACGTAGAGGTCCGGTCAGGTCGGGTCGCCTAATTGAAAAGCGAACAAAACCTGGCTCCCGCCGCAGAAGGCAGGCAGAAGGCAGGCAGTTGGACCGCAGCTTACAAGACAATGCAAATGAGCGAGTGTGCGCGGTGTTTTGAGACTCGAATGTGCCGCATCGTTCCGATTCAACAGGTGTCATCGCGAGCGAGACACAGGGGCGGCATTTGACGAGACTCGTGCATATGCCGGCGACGGGCAGGCGACACGAGCCTGGGTAAATCAACGGCGCGCGAACGTTTCTCCTTGCCCCCCTCGGTCCTCGGAGGCTCTCGACGGCTCTTGATTTTCGCCGGGTTCTTTGCTTTCCGGGGGCGACGCCGCGCAAGGGCCATCGGGCTTACCAGTGGCAGAGAGCAGCTGAGGCAGATACTTCTTCCAGAATGCGCATTGCTTGGCGCGCGGACCGTAGCCTATTTCCGTCGAGTTAGTGTCCAGGGTCAGGTACTCTTTCCTCTGCGCCGTGTGAATCGGCCAGTTGACCTCCGTCCACGACGAGCCGTCGTCGCCCATGTTCGGGTCGCTGAGGGCAGACGCGAAACGAAAGCTTGGATATTCGGAGGGCAACTCGTTAGGGGAAATCGGACTTACCCAGTTTTAGCGAAGTTCGCCCAGTATCTCATCATCCTCTTGGACAAGTGAACCTCTTCTTGCGTGTAGCCCTTGCTCGGGTTGAGTGGCTCGCCGAAGACGTAGCTTATCTCGTCGGCGTGCATGACTCCCGTCCACCTCGGCCACGGATTGTTCAGCGATCTGTCGTCGCGGTGTCGGGTTAGTCGAGGCATCGCTCGCCGTGTGCCGCGCGCCACGTACCTGTGCTTGTAGTAGTACATGTAGACCTTGTTGCCGGTCTCGGCGTACCTCGTCGCGAACTCGTTGACGTTGCACGTGAAGTGATAGTCGCCGACGATCTTGTCGAGCGCGTTCCTGTTGGCGTCCGGGTCGTCGGGTCGCAGCCAGTCCGTGTACTCGTAGATGATGGCGTGCCGGCCGACGGGACTGACGTAGGGGTTGAGCTCGCTGACGGCCCGTATAAATTCATCCCGCGACACTTTCACGTCCTCCGTGCCGTCGATCCTGAAGAGTTCGGTCAGATAATAGATGATAAAGTAAAAGCCCTCCTCGGTGTTGGAGCCCATGAGGATGTTGGCCTTCTTGAAGGACTCGGTGAGCATGGACTTTTGCGGCGTCTCGTCGAGGAATGCGCCGTCGATGACCGGCACGAAGGGGAACTCGCAGATGCCGAGTGTGCCCCACTCGCCCTCCACCAGGACTTTCGGGTCGACGGCTATTAGGCAATCGATCACGCCGCGCAGATTGCTGGCGTCGTGCGGGCAGCCGACCGCCTCGGCGAGCCGTAGACCGCGCATTATCGACTCCTCTCGCGATATGACCGCCCAGGGCGCCGTCGCCGAGCCCGACTGCATTATCGCCTGGCTGAACAGGTTCCTGCGGGCCAGGCACAGAGCGACGCTCAGCGATTACGTGAGTAAAGTAGCGAGTGCCAGCCGACGCGGAGCCGAGCGCGAGCAGTCACCTGGAGAGCGGCGAGAGCAGCAGCATCGACACCGAGACGGCGCCGGCGCTCTCGCCGAACAGCGTCACGTTGTCGGGGCTGCCGCCGAAGGCGGCGATATTGTCGTGCACCCACTGCAGCGCCATCACCTGATCGAACATACCGGAGTTGCCGGGGACGTCGGGGGTGCCGAAGTAGAGGAAGCCCAGGCTCGCCACGCGGTACTGCATCGACACCATTATCACGTTCTCCTCCGACACCAGTGTCTTGTGATCGTACACGTCTAGTGTCGCCGTGCCCGAGTAAAAGCCGCCTATTTTTTGTGTGCGCGTGTGTGTGTGTGTTTTTTGTTTTTGGACCATTATTTTTCATTTGGATTTGTCGAAAGTAATGCTTGCAACGAACGATTGTTATACTCAACCGCCAAATATCCACAACATCACGGCAGCGTTGGTAGGCCTTGGCTTCGGCACGACCACGTTAATGTAAAGGCAGTCCTCGCTCAGCTGAGTGTTTGGATTCCAAATTTGAGCGCCCTCGAAGTCACCGAACACCGTGTCCACTATCTGAACGCAGCTGTTCGGTGGCGTGGTCGTGTTCAGTATGCCTTCCCACTTTTCCGCCGGCCGCGGATGCCTGAACCTCAGGTCACCTGTGGAAAACAACGTTTCTTTTCGGTCCAATCCACCTATGCTAATACAAGACTATTCAGTCGTTACATCCTTTGTTTCGTATCAATGACGTTGCGATCGATTCCCAGCTATTAGCGCAAATTACGTACCCTGTCAATTAATCGTGAGGTTTGTATTACGGAGACTTCACCGACGAAAACGCAAGGAATTTCGGATTCACAGCGAAGAAACGAAAGCGAAAAAAGCTACCGCAGACGTAACTTTGTTTTTCGCGGTATTATTTAATTAGAGACAGCGAGAGCGCGGGTATCTAGGTTAAAGTCATTTAGACAGCCGTGATAGTAAATCTCGTTTTATTTCTCGTTACATGCATGGAGAACGACGCCATTGAAAACTTGAGCAGCCGAAATTTCTCTCGCGTACAAGGATATTACTAAATGCCGGATTATATTTTTTTTCAAGCAAGCTTATCGTTCTTTTTTTTATCATGTTTTTTTATATTTTTTTATTAAAAGAAAAAAACGTTTTCACGCGATGCGTTAACGCGTCAGATTTCTCAAACTTACTCGGGAGTTTTGCCAACTTTTCCTTTTTTTTCTTTCTTTGAAGAATAATGAAGAATGATAAAAAGATCTGAAAAGTTTCTTTATTTTCGTACTTTTTTTTTTACCGGTCAATGAAAAAAAGAAGTCGAGAGTATAAAAGCTCATGCGAGGCGATCAATTTTTACGTTAGTTCGTGCACTGCTAAGAAGAATTTCGTCAGGTCCAACAATTTTTTTGACAAGTCTGTTGCGATGGGAAATTTCCGCTCGCTTTTACATTTTGTACGTTGTACTAGTGGTTTTTGCCGCGTTCAGTTCTTTCGCTTGCAAAAAGGTTTACTTCGAGGCGACGCTTCTTACCGTGTCAAATCTGTATTTCAAATCTTTCGTTATGTTCAAACAATGAACTTTTTTCTTTCCAGGAATTAGAATAAACATCAAATGGAATTTTCGTAGACTGACCGTCGTAACCTTGCTTGATAATTCCGTAGCAAACTTTCGAGCAATTAAGAAAAGTTCAGTAAAGATTCGTAGAAAAATGTCTCAAAGTATGATAATCATTTAGGATTAGGTAAGATCGTAACTAACCAATAGGCTTTTGCGCATAAGGTATACCGAGCCAAGCATCAACCTTCTTGCCGGTCCTAGCAGTGAGGGTAGTGCCCTTGACGAACCCCTTCTTCGTCAAGACGACGAGCGGGTCATCGTCCTGGGTTTGATGTTGCGGCTGTGGCAGCGGCTGGGGAGTTGACTGGGCCGCTGCGGCGAGTCGTTGAGGTTGCGGCAGCGGCTCCTGCTCGATCGATTGATCCTGCTGATGCTGTTGCAGGCTAAGATCCGAGGCCGCGTGATGTCTGCCGCGGTGAGAAGGTGAGCCGTACGCCCCGTGTAGGTCAAGGCTACCAAAGCCGAGTGCCACGAGGACCAGCCAAGTCGTTGCTGCTGTTGTCGAGATACGCCGCCTTGTACCACCACGACCACCACCACCACCACCACCACCTCCATCTCCTCCTTCTCCTTCTCCTCCTCGCCACCCACTCGACTGATCCTCGTGCTTCTTCTTTTTCTGTTGCTGCTGTCTGTTGAGCTTCTCATCGTGCTGCTGCTGATAATGATGACGCCGCATCTTTGTTTAGCAGCCTGCAAATCCAAACATAACGCTGTGAGAGATGAAGATTCAGGCGAGACTCGGATTTGGATCAAAGTGAAAACTGGCTATCGCGCGGGAATCGATTAATCAGTGACAGAGAGCTGTCGAATCTTAGTCGGCGACGTGGCGCTCGTGAATTGCGAACAAACATTTTGAAATCGTGCGGCTACGAGCTTTCTCAAGAGTGCCGCGCGCGCAAATGTAACCGCTCATCATTATTCATAATATAATAGATCGCTCAACCCCGGAGTGCTGATAAAATGTAGAGAATGTCTCTTGGACAAATGGTCGTACGACTGAACATCAAAGAGTGGCGATGACCAACGGGAGCCTTCCGTTTATGCCGAGGGGGAGAAAAATGGCGCAATCCGTATATTATTTCCTCTCCTTCTATATTCTCATTCGCAAACAAGACTATCAAACGATTCAATTTCGCCGCGTGTCTGTCGATAGGACAAAATAAAAAGACGTGTGCCAGAAATTCTTGTCTCTCTCTCTCTCTCTCTCTCTCTCTCTCTCTCACTTTTTTCTCTCTCTCGATTCTCTTTCAATTCGCCAGGTGCACGAATCAAAGCGAACGTTGTTTTAGTCGTTGCGTCTCTTCTCTCTCTCTTTCTCTCTCTCTTTATTTCGTCTCGATTGGATTCCTCGCGCACACTGCGTTTGTATCCGGAAGTATAATGCACCCTTTTCTCACGCGGCCGGGCACTTCGTTAATTGAATCACTATTGCACTGCCTTTCGAAATAAATACGCATATAAGACTTTTCTCGTTATTGCTGATTTGTTCTGATCTTATTATTAGCTGCAGTCACTAAGTGTATTAATATTGTCAACTCAGTTGTTATTATTGTAAATCAGTTATACAATCTCATCAATTTTACATTCAAAATATTCCGTGCGTATGCGCATTGACTAAGTTGTTCGAAGTCTTATCTCACTCGATAGAGTAAGTTTCATTTCAAATTAAGATAGGCCGTAAAATGGGAACGTAATCTAAAACGTATCAGTGAGGAATGATCTTTTTCGACAGTTTATGGTTTATTCCAGTTTGAGATCAATTCTGATGAAAAATTTTATATAACTTTTTGGAGATTTGCCTTATCAAAGAAAAACAGTCTTTGAACAGTTTAAATTTTAAAGCCCTATACATAGATCTTCAAATTGTGCATTTAAAAATACGTTGAACTGAAAATTGGAATATCTTAGTAGAGAGCTCTTTCTTAAAATAAAAAAATCTATCAACATCGTTAGTATCGAAATTGCAGTAAAAAACAAATTAGCATCAACTATATATAGCGCATGATCATAAACTTGGAGAGCGAGAGAGAGAGAGAGAGAAGTGTAACAGCGAGAAGCATTAAACAAGCCAAGTTTTGCTGACAGAACACGAAGTCGAGAGCTCGAAGCCACGGCGTTTCCTACACAGCTGTCCATGCACCCGACAGTAATTAACATCACCGGTGTACGTGTCACAATACAAACGCGTTTTCCGCGCTGATGAAGCAGGATTAAACGTCTCGCTAGGCATTAACGCTTCTTTTCCTTTTTCTTCTTTCTTTTCCACTCGTTCGTCTGTTCACGTGTAGCTTTTCTCTTTCACTGCTTTTTCATTTACCTACTTTACGCGTCTCGAACATACGTTCATTTTTGACCGATTACTGCCAAAAGTCCTCTTCTTATGGATGACTTTGGTGCTAAGATAGCGAAAGTGAAAAAGAACAAGTTTTTGGTGGTATGTCACAAAATTAAAATCCATTCAAAATAAACGTAAAGTATTAAGTATCTTCAGAAATATTGTCATTATGCCTTGCATTAAACCCACATTCAACAAGTACAGGAAGGTTGATAGGTTGATACGATACCGAAAGTCAATAATAATTTCTATGAATCTCGCGACGAGTCCAGGTAATGTTGTACCGCTGCCCATTCTTCAATTAATCAGTTATACAGAACACAACTCGATAATAACGATAAAGAAAGAAATAAAAACAGTTGCGGCATACGTAATCCACGCGTCGTTATGTAAGAAAGAAGTACGTGTAACATGGCCATTTCCATTCGTGAGCGAAATGTTGCTCACTCAATTATTCGCGGGCGAAACTCGGCGCCGATTGAATCCAAGAGGGAGAGTACGAAGAAAGAAGAAAAAAAAGTGGGCAGACACGTGCGCTCGCGAGAAAAAAAAGGGACACGTGATCGATACAGCTAACGCGTATTTATACGAGCTCGCTCTCTTCGGAGAGAGAGAGAGAGAGAGAGTAGGGCTTTGCTTTCTTCCTTCCTTCCCGGAGATTCACTCTCCTGTTTGTCTTGTATACCCCCCGTCGAGCAAGGATTCTCTTGTATTTTTTCCTCGCGTTCGCGCCTAAGGTTCTCCCTCGCGAGCCTTTGGGGAAATTTTCCTTTTCTCTCTCTCTCTCTCTCTCTCTCTCTCTCTTTTCATGCCTGGATATATTGATTTTGAAATTTGGCCTGGGATCGTGCGAGCGAGAAAGTTTCTGCTCTCTTGGGTCGGAGTATATTTTTTTTGTGATAAATTGGTTGGACGCGTACGAGCGCAACGAATGATTTGATTTGATTTGATTTGATTTGATGGTTTTTCGTATAGCTATAATTAAAAAGTCAACTTCTTTCGCTGTGATTCAAATCAAACTTAATTTTGTTTAATATGATAATAATTGAAAATTAGTTAAGAAATGCAATATTGGAAAGTTGAATAAATGGAGTGGCATGACCAGAAAACCCGTTAGCCGAACAAAACGAATGCAATATCGCGCACATTCACCGCGTTGACGACTTTTTTACTTTTTTACTCCATTGCAGCTTGAAAGGAGCGCAGAGCAAAGAGGCCATTGTTGGCGCTCAATTGACACACACGAGTAATTCCATCAAGTTACAATTACATCATGCAATCTGAAAAATCGATTCGCCAGCAGGTAAATTTGCATCGAGCGAAAAGAAACTTGGCTCATCCGCTCTGCAATATTAATGTCGTCGGTTTGCATATCGAATTTGTTCTTCTTATTGTTAGTCCTGATGCGCACATCTTTGTCGCTCTTCTGTTTTTTGCGCGTATAATTGGCACCGCGGGTTGTCACGGAGAGTACAAAGTCCTCGTTCTTTCTTTCCTTCTCTCACCCTCGTCCGTATTTTCCACATCGTTTCCGTCCCTCGCCTTATTATTCCAATGCTCGATATACTGCAACACTCAATCCATTACTTTTCGTGTGTTTCTCCGAGACTTTTCCTCCTTCCATCTTTCACTTTTTCGTGTTTACGACCTTGGCCACGTATGAGATTTTTTTATATTGGTAAAATGAATATCTGGCGGACAGGTATGAATGATTACAGGGGTTTGTCATATCTAATGTATATATTATTTTCCAGTTTGAGAGTTACGTATATTTTATACAAAAATAGTTCAAAAATTTGACGACAACAATACGTGGACATGTTCAGTGAAATTTTTATTCTCCAAAAAGCAAAGTTTCGACAATTTTTATCTAACGTTTGGACGCTCGAGGACATTGTTTTTCTAGTGCACGTTCTTTGTAATACATATTCATCAAATTTCTTCAAATGTTTTACCAACGAGTTTAAGTTTTACAAAACGATATTTAAGAAAAATGATTTTCGATAGAACTATTTATTGAAAAAACACCAAGTAAAATATTCTACAGCAGAAAAAGATTTATAACAGTAAGGATTGAATTAGTTTCGGCTTTTCATATTCTTTCCTTGATTATTTGACATTCCAAACCCGTATTTCTTTTTAAATTGATATATCTAAAAACACAGCAGTTTTTAATGTGAGATCATATTTGAACTATGGCATAACGAATACTTTCTTCGATCGAAATTTCCAAGGAAGAGCAGTAAAGGGTGGTTTCATTTATCCAACCTCTAAAAAGGCATTATTAATTAAAGCAAGAATTAGCCTTGTCAGAAGACTAAAATTTTTCGCAAGCGGTGCTCAAATTAAACGGCTAATTAACCAATTTCCATCTTACAAAACCGTATCTCGTTCACAAAGACAGGGAGAGAGAGAGAGAGAGAGAGAGAGAGAGAGAGAGAGAGAGAGAGAGAGAGAGAGAGAAAGAGAGAGAGAGGAAAAAGAAGTTTAAAGGCTTCAAGGTAGGCCAATAAAAACGTAAGCACGAGAATTGTGTGGCGGCTCGCTTTGGTTTGTCGTGAATTTATTAACGAATTTATTAGATCCCACCCCAGGAGAGGCAATATATTGCTCGAGCTCGTTTTCTTTATAGCAGCAGCAGCCGGCGACGACGACGAGAGAAAATGACTCCACCAAAGCTGCTGGCTGTGTGCGCGTGTGTGTGCGCGAGAGAATGAAAATAAGTCGTCCCTGTGAGTTTCAGAGTAGAAAAGTTTTGGTTCGGTCGATCGCTTGGCGAAAAATTGATTCTGTGCGTGTTTCTTTTTTATCAGTTTGCGACGACGACGACGACGACGACGTCGACGGAATACTGAGCCAGAGGACGATGAAGCTGTATTGAAAAGTTTTTCTCGCTTTCTCAATTGCACGGCCAGAGCTACGTGAGACTTTTCAAAAACCTTATTTTTTCTTCAACTTTTACAAGCTCGATGATTATATTGGATTCCAAATGCTATTTCTCGTGCTTGCGCGCACCGACCGACTTTGTTATTGTTACTGTACCAAATTATACAAGGTGATATTTTTTTACTTGAAATTGAGTAGAGATTATTATTCAGATTGAGTGGTTATTCGGAGTCAAACATTTTTTACGTAAATAGAGTAAATCATTACTGAAAGAAGCCAATAAATTGCTTAATTTGCTTTAAATGATAAACAAATACTATTCAAAATGAGATTTTTATAGTCTTTTTTATTACTTACATCACTTAATTTTATAAAAATTTGTTACAGTGAAGTTAATATTGATTTGTTAGAAATTCAAAAATTACAACACTGAGGCTGCACTCCAGTATATGAAACAATAGATTTAAATAAACATTTTTTATGAATTGTTATTTTTGTTGAGCTTGTATTTTGAAAACTTGTAGCACTATTATCACAGCTATTGCTGGAGAGAATCGAAACTTTTTTTACCTATCCAAATGAAAGTAGGATACTCGTATAAGCTAATTCCTCAGCATCAGAATGATGAATGAAAAAAATCATACGAGAATCCACGGGAAACGAGTTGAAAAAGTTTTTCAATTAAACTTCTATTTTAGCACGCGTATGAATGATGAATAGAGAGAGAGAGAGAGAGAGAGAGAGAGAGAGAGAGAGAGAGAGAGAGAGAGAGATGTATATAGAGAATGAAAAAAGAGTGAAGAATACAATGGATGAGAGAGTATGAAGCAGAGGCACATTGCCCAGACAATGTAAAAATATGGAAAACTACGTACTGCATTTTGTCGTTAAAAAAGAACAAACAGTTTATATATATATATATTAGTGTTATATATGTATATATTAGTGTATACGTGAATTTTTCTTGGTCGTTCACCGAGCAGTGTTGAATTACGTGAAAGATTGTAATGAACTCGAAAAATACAAAAAATTCGAGTCGCAAAATATTTTTATTAGGGCAAAATTTTCAGGTGTTTACTCTATAAACAAGAAATACCGCGAGACGCAGACGAGCAGTGTAATTTGAAAGAAACACAATGTAATCCTAGTTGGATCGTAACAAGCGCTTCTAAACAACATCCCTTGAAACACAGTGCAAGAAAGTGCAGCCTCGTAAACGACGCACTCGCAGTCAATGGACAATCGCGTGCTCGCGTGTGTGTGTACGTATGTCAATCGCCGTGAGGCGCGTATGCAACGCGGCACGTCAACTTCCGCGCGAGCAAACACACGCAAACACACACACGCACACGCACACACAGGATGCTGGGGTTAAATTATTTGCACCGCCGCGCTGTCGACTAGCTCGCGCGACTGTTTGCTAAAGCTGCAACAGCTGACGAGCGAGCAAGGGAGACCAAGACGCTTGTATAAACGTGAATGCAAGCCTTGTGTTTAATGAGTTACTCGAAATTTTACTACGTCGCGGCCTTTGATCGATACGCGGTCACGAGTTCACTGTTGATTATGCGCAGTTTCTATGTGGCTTGATTGGTTTTGTTCTCGACTCTATACTTTGAACGACAAACGTGCCAAATGCGCGTTACCTTCGGCAATGGAATTCGATTATAGTCAGACGGTAAGCGCATTCGGGTGGAGTTGTACCTATAAAAATGCGTTTCGTCGTACAATATTGTTTCCTTATAAAACCAGTAACGAAAATTAAAATAATAAATGGATTTATTCAAATCAAAGCGAGCTTGCGCAAAGAGAGAGAGAGAGAGAGAGAGAGAGAGAGAGAGAGAGAGAGAGAGAGAGAGAGAGAGAGAGAGAGAGAGATGAACGTTGCTCCAATATTCCAGCTGAAAAAATGTCGAAACGCAAATCCAACATCGTGGGGCGGAAAAAAAACACTTATTAAAAAGCAATTCCGAATGAGGGAATGCACCTTTCTTTTTTTGCGTTTGCGCGCGCGCGGCACAGAGCGCGGTGATTGGCAAGAGCGAAAAAAGTGAGAACAACACGTACGCGCGAGCTTTATTTTATTTGCCAAGGCCGACGCGATGTAGAATATTTACCGTATAGCGATGGAAGAGAAAAATATGTGCGAGTGTACTCGCTTTTTCTACGTGCTTGGTGGCTTATTGCCGATGAAAACAGTGTTTATTTTAGCCGAGTGAAGCGATGTTTAATTTAACCATTTGTCATCATTTGAAATGGCTTTCGGATGCGATCGACAAAACAATACGCGCTCGATGAATTTCAATCAACAAAGAACGCGAACGAGCCGCAGAATCAAACGCGTAAACGCGAATAGTTAAGCTAAACAGGTGAAATTGCAGGTACTTGGAAACGTTATAGCAATTTCCAGCGACGACGTCGATCTCTCGACAATTAGTTGGGTAAATGAGGGGCCATAAAAAATGCAAATACAGTGAAGTTCGGCGCGCATCTTGCCGGAGCCTCCCCTGGGCATATATGCCTCGTAAATTGCGCGTAGCGAAACCGCCACGTGCATCACTGCGTTAATATTCATGCGCTTCCCTCTCTCTCTCTCTCTCGCGTGCGTGCTTTTCTTCTTTCTCTCGTGTCCCAGCGCGCTTTCGCCTGGTATCACATTTCCAGAAGGTTTTATGACGCCGACCACTATTTTTTCTTTTTCTTTTTTTATGATATTGCAGCAATCATTTTCCACGATAGACTCTCGCGCATGAATAAAGCGAAACCTCGCGGTGGAGGCAATTTTTCTCGAAATTAAATTATTATCTCGCCAAAGTGGAGGGTTAGCCGAGTTGCGCAAACGGACGGTTCAGAACTTTTACCCCACATCGCGATATATTACGGCCGTTGCAATTGAATTACGTTCATTGTGCATCGTGTATTCATATCTCATTCCTCTTCGATGCCGTGATTTTTAATGGAAAATCATTTTCTCACAAAGGAATACTTTCCGGACTTGCTTAATTAATTAACGCGCACCGCTTAGCGAATGCGTCAAAGCGAGTCGATTCCTAATTAAGCATTCGACGTTCGACCGATAATTGTTCGCTGACGTGTGAACGACGAACAATTTCCCAATCAGCATTCGCCCAAATCTTTATGAAATATATCACATTCAACGAGAACGATTTTCACTGTTCGAGTCGCAATAAATTGTTTGAATCAAACGAGCTCCGGGCTTCCAAAGATAACTATGATAAAGATAATATTGAATCTTATAATATTTTCGTAACGCTGCCCGTATTCTCGTACTAAAAAAAACAATCTCAAACTCAAGATCCCGACGAAGAGAAAAAAAACAATTAAAGCGGCAGATTGCAAAGTTCGTACGCGCAAATCGTGCAGGTGTAGCTAATTAAGTTTCTTCCCTCGCCGTCATACTTCACGTTGCGCACACGCGGTAAGATAGGAAGGAAGGAACGAATGAAAGAGATAACGCTATTCGACCACGTGCAGGCACAACAATGCCAAGCCGTCGCGCGCTCTTTTTTTTCCACCTCGCGTTGTTTGCCGTTTCGTCGACAGGATTTTCTTTTTTATTTAGCAGAGGAAAAAGATGTAGAAGACGGATTATTATGGAAAAGCGTATAACGAAAATATAATGGCTAGATGTTGACGCTTTCTTGGTATCGTAGCAGAGCAAGCTGAGCGTAAAAATGTCGCCGTGACTTAAGAATTAATTCGTTTTTAATTCTTTGAAATATATCATTTTGGGGGAAAAAATCGAACGGAATGCAGCCCGACGAATCAGAAGTCAATTGAAGCAATTCCAGCTAAAATAATACGCCGATGTGGAAAAGTAAATTGTATGCAGTTGCTTAACGATATTTTAAATGTAACCAGCGATCGTTTCACGCACGACGAGCAACACAACGACTGCTGCCGAGAGAAAGAATCCGCGATCTCGTTAAAATTCGAATGAAGGAATAGAGCGACTTACAGTTTTGCAAGCTGAGGGTAGGCTGATCGTTCGAGGGCAATCGAGGAGACGAAGAAGCTCGCCGCGGTGACGACAGCAGCTGCAGCGTCGAGGTCACGTTGGAAGGGACGAGGCTGGATGCCTCCGGCTTCTTCGTCGTTCTCTTACGAGATGCTGCTGATCCGTATTTGCGGCCCTTATTTTTCAATATATTACGCCTACATTTCTCGTCCACCCCTCATCTTGAATTGGCCTGCAAACAGTTTCACCAAACTATATGTCTAATTGCATTTAAAGTGGATTCTTATTTCACGATAACAAACAAAAAGTAGCCATGATTGAAAACGAACGATTTAAAAAAAATAGGTTATAAAATGTACATAAAAAACGAAAAACTAATGAAAGAAAATCAATTCGCCCGACGTTCACACTTCGAAAAGATACCTACCCACCAATGAAACTCAATGATAAATATATTTCGCAAAGCGATCAATTGAAATACAAATTACTGCTTGATAAAGTTGTATTGAAATCAGTCTGGACCTATGGCAATCAATTATGGGGTGCTGCTTCGAACTTGAATATTGAAATCTTAGAAAGATTTAAATCGAAAGTCCTATGTAATATCGTACTGGCCACATGGTTCATCTCAAATGAAATCAGGTTACGACAGTAAAATAAGAAAGTAAAAACTTTTAGATAAAATACATTATCAGACTTTAGAAACACTCCAATAAACATATTAGCGAATTTCTCATGACATCCACCAAAATCAGGCTCAAAAAAATAAACTAATAAATGCATAAATAAATCAAAACCCAATCGTAACATGTACACTTTGTAAGAAAGACAGATCAGTCACTGGAGTATTCTGCTTATTTCATGTGCACATATATATCAATAACATTTACTTATTGTCTCAAAATATGTTAGATTGATTGTCAATAAACTTGGAATAACACCAAAAAATATAATTGAAAAGGCGGACAGATTCAATGTCAAAATACCCCATGCAGATTAACCGAGGATTTTATTTGGATGCACGAGAGTTTATCCGTGGTGCTGTAATGCCGTAAGCATTCAAGAAACACAGCGTTCGGGAAAAAACCACAGTCTCTCTTCCAAATCTATCGCTATGAGCGGCACATTTTATCGATGATCGAGCAACGAGCGAGCAAAATTTTATCTCGAAATAATTTTCATATCACCGCAATCGACCTTGTCATTTATTTTTTTTTTCTTACGCCAACGCTCACGCGTACCGGTAATGGACTCTGAATGTGTTTCGTATCGATTAGCCATTAGCGCTATTTATTATTCGGCATGATGAATTAATACCGGTGACCAGTCGCGCGCACACTCGCTATTTATTATTTTCTAATCATGTCGGCTTTTACTGGTGATTGATCGATCAAATGCTGCCGACGAAAATTCGGAAAAATTAAATGTTAATCAAGGTTGATCGAGGAACGTTGACAATAAATTAATGTTGTTTTTCTCGCTTTTTGTTTCGGTCAATCTTTATTTCCACCGAGCATGTTAATTCAAAAGATTAGTCCATTTCGTCGACTATGAGAACCTGATATTATTTGGACAACTTTAAATGTCGTGTATAATTAGAACGTCCTTTTTTTACGCTCGACGTTGTCTACTTTATTGGGGAGGGTCATACAGCACATTTGATTATTACGTCAGGAATGTCCCATGAGAATACGTCTATATGTGCGTGTGTGGGTGTTTTCGGACTCTGCCAAGGAAATTTTACATTCTATGACTCTCTCGTGTCGCATATAACGATAATAAAAGCTTGATTTTTTTGTAATTCAGTTCTTTGCCAATGCTTTTTTTTCGAATTTATAGAGTTGAAATTCACTTTTTTTTATATTTATGATTGACATTTTGAATGCATTTTTGGTACTGTTTTTAAAAAGCCGATATTCTACACTTTTTTTCGAAACAGCTTCCGGCAGTGAAAACCGTCGAAATATTCATTTTGACATTGTGTCAAAAAAAGAAAACAGTTTTTTTTACAAGTTAGCAAAAAAAATTCTACCCACTCTTTTCCTAAAAGGATGAAATAATAAGTTTTTTTTTCAATGCTATACAGGCGCACCTCGAAAGAAAAAAAATCGATGGCAGTAGCAGGCGAAAGGTGAAAATTTGATATAGTGGTACTAGCATGAGAGCCTCGAATATCGGAGACGGCAAAAGCCAATAACTCAGAAATTTACAATCTAATAACGTCCCGTTCGGCTCTTTTATCACTGATAAAATGCGAAGTAAAGGTATTTCGTCATTTTAAAAAGTTTATGGATCAACGAATGGCAGATAGATGTAGATGCGGGGTGACTTTTACGACGTACTCTTTTCTCTCTCTCTCTCTCTCTCTTTTTACTTCTAACGGTGTAACGATGTTTCTCCTTTTAACGAAGTCGTAAAAATTTCTCCGGCGACGCTCATTATCCGCGGCCGGCAGCGTCCTCCAGGAATTTTCTAATAAACGCCACCGAAGCGAGCGACGACCCATTTCTTTTACTTGCGGCGGCAGTTATGCCGCAAGGCGCTCGCCAACCACGATGAATTTAAAAATCGTAGCTGCTGTCTCCTACCTTTTTCGTCGAGGCTAGACGATTTATTGTGTTTGCTGGTCTTAAGTATTTTCCAGGGGTTCTTGGATTTTTTAACAATGAGACTTTAATTGTGTACGTTGATAAATGACAAATGAGGAAAACTATGTAAATTAACAACTAATTTTTATTCGAATATTCCAATCATCTAATGCTATGAATGACATTTTACAATAGTAACAAATACGTTTAATAGATCTTTTATTGGGAAAAAAAAAAGTTGAGTCTGTCAATTTTTCATTTCCGCTTAATACTGGAAATTAATCATTCTCACACAAATCATCCTATAAACCCTATCATAAATTCAAACTCGAGCCCCTAAAAAAAATAGCTTATCTTTCAATAACGCGAATCTACGATTTTTCGAAAATCTACAACATACACTACGTCTATACATAGTATGAGCATCGGCGGAGTAGCTTGAACCGATGAATCGCGCGAAAAAAAATTGTCAGCGCCCGGCGTGGGGTAAAAAAAAAAGAGTAGTGGAGTAGTGCACGCACACAGCCCGTAACACAGTGACAAACGCGTTGACCTAGAGACGTCGCCGCACCGCGGTTCTCTCGCGTGTTCACCGACCATCCATAAAACGCGCCTGCCTGCCTGCCTGCCTGCATTTTTGGCTCTCTACACAGATTTTCAAGCCGCAAAGCGTGTCGAATCGCACGATTTCGTTTCTTTTCTATCTCTTTTTTTCCTTTTATTCCGATTCGGTCTGTTTGCAGAATAACCATGGTGAGTTTTCGTCGGGGTGCTGCGCGACTGCTATCGTTATACTCACTAGCAACTAGTCAAACCAAAGCAAATAGAATAATGTTTAGTTGAAAACTCAAAGATAAAAAGTAGTTACGTGTGTTCAGAATAATCAAAGTAAATTAGCGACTAATTCGATCATCAAGTTACAGACGACATAATCAATAATCATAATTAAGTCGAATTTCAGAGAGAGAAATAGCGAGTCCAGACCAAACACCAAACCGCGGCTACAGCTCTTTTATTCTGCAATTTTTGTAACGCGACACGCGACAAGAGAGACTCCGACGTTGAATCCGACAGAACAACAAATTGAATTTTCAATATTCGAGCTCATAAACTTTTTTTACTCTCAGTTATTTTTCAAATATCTCATGCATTTCAAAGGCTTTTTTTCATACGGCACGCACGCCCGGCCAGTCTTTTGTTTTTTATCAGTTTACATTTTTTCGACGAATATTGTCCGCATCGAGTTTTTTCGTTTTCACTTCCGCATTCGCGAGGATTTCCTTCTTCATTACTTCATTCTGCATGTGAAATCCGGTAAGTATCATATAAAGTAGTTTGACATTTTTTATGCATCGTCAATGCTCAAATACACTGTGAAATGTAGACACAGAATTGAAATCCATGCGTAAGTGAAACAATCAGCACTTATCGTTCTGAGAATGATTTACGTCGCGATAAATTTTTTCGTTTTCCAGATTATGCAGTTATACTTCGTCACAATAAAACTCGTATTTTCAGTAGAACCTCCATGTACGATATTATACGTGAAAATACGGGAGCAAAACATATTTGCGTTTCCAATTATCTCCAAGGCTTTTGAGTCTCTGCTACCAACGGCCTTTCACTAATTATTTCGTGCTGAATACACGTTGAATTTGAAATGTATATACATTATCCATTCACTGATTGCATATTCATACCATTTAAGTAAGTTCATTTAAAAGCATATCATGTGTCCGTTAATGTTTCTATTCTTTCTGTTTTTTTTTTTTTTTTTATTTAAATCGCGAATAAACGTATTATATCAAATATTACAGAACAAATATTATACAAAGATGCGATGTCATTGTGTTCTCTGAATATTGAATTTACGCGGGACGTGCATGATTTTCATGATATTGAACCGTCACATTGGAAGCTCGAATTTCTAGAGCAAAATGTAGTATTACGTTTATGACAATATTCACTATTGATTAATGAGATACATTCATAGTATGGTAAAAAGTAATCAAGGTAATAAATCACGTGTTAGTTTGTACTCATTCGTGTTTTATCGAAAGTTCACGCTAAGACCGAAGAAAAGTTTCGTAGCCACACCGCCGATAGATTCAAATAGGGACATACACGTGTACTGTGAGAAATTCTGAAAGCAAAATAAGGGAAAAACAAAGGATGGCCAAGCGTGCAGGGCGTATGTACGGTCAAGCTTAATCTTGGCGTCGAATTATCGGCGGATAGGCTGTACATAAGCTACATAATCCCGGAGCTGCGTTGTCTGCAGGTAGCCTGAGGCCGACTATCCATCACGAGCCACAACGACGCATATCTCTGCAGTATATATATGCGACACGATTAGGCCGACGATATTGTGTCTCGTCTCTCTCTCTCTCTCTCTCTCTCTCTCTCTCTCTCTCTCTCTCTCTCTCTCTCTCTCTCTCTCTGTATTCGACTATACTGCAACTCTACCGTTTATTTTGATGTGTGGATGTTGCGGGTGAACAAGAAATTTTCATTTTAATGGCTGTTTTCTAATTTAAGAATTAAACACGTTAAAAGTTCTTGAAAAGATTAGCAATATTTCGTGAAATTAGCAACGACTATACTTTTTTCGAAATTTTAATTAACTCTTAAAATGAAGAGTGTA